CCTCTCTCTTGCAGTGACCTCTCGCCTCTCTCTCTCTCTCTTGCAGTGACCTCTCGCCTCTCTCTTGCAGTGACCTCTCACCTCTCTCTCTCTCTCTTGCAGTGACCTCTCGCCTCTCTCTTGCAGTGACCTCTCGCCTCCTCTCTCTCTTGCAGTATGAGTGTTTTGTAACGTCTGCTCTCTCATTTCCCCCCGCAGATGGAATATTACAACCACCACACCACCACTTGGCACCCCGTGGCCAGCATGCTCAACAAACGTTGCCGTCACGGAGCGGCCTCGCTGGGCAGCAAGATGTTCATCTGCGGCGGCTACGACGGCTCGGCCTTCCTCAGCGTGGCCGAGGTCTACAACTCCATGGCGGACCAGTGGTACCTCATCACCCCCATGAACACTCGCCGCAGCCGCGTCTCCCTGGTTGCCAACTGCGGCCGGCTGTACGCCCTGGGGGGCTACGACGGCCAGTCCAACCTGAACTCCGTAGAGATGTACGACTCGGAGACCAACCGCTGGACGTTTATGGCCCCCATGGTGTGTCACGAAGGCGGGGTCGGGGTGGGGTGTATCCCGCTGCTGACCATCTAGCGGGCCTACAAGAACGCGTCCCACTGTGACGGGAAGCGGGATCGACGTCCTTTATTTTTTTAATATATATAAATGTGAAAGTCTAGACAGGTACAAATCCAGGTGCTCAGAGTCCGCTCCATCATGTTTATACCCCTCCCCCCCACTACTATGGTCAGACAATCTCTCTACCAGTATATCGAATGTATTTATTGACCCCCTCCCCTTGGGGGAGGATCTTCGGGGTCCTGCCACAGACCGGCTGACCACCCCTCCCTGGAGGACAGTTTAGCGATTCCAAAACCTGTGAGGTGTTTTTTTTTTTTTTTTCTGGCTTTTTCAAAAATCTGATTCCTGTGTCCGGGAGCTTGCAATTCATTGATGTCACTTTGTTTTTTTTTCTGTTTTTGATTATTGTATATCTGTAGAATGTTGTTGTCCGGTATAGTGCCATAGAGTTCCCTGTAATGAAACCAAAAGAGAACTCGCAGGAGAGTCTTTCATATGATTTTTATTATTTTTTTGTCTTGCTGTCTTCTTGTGGTGTGAGGAGGGACACATGCTGGGGGGGGCGGCGCCCTGTGATATTTTCCAGCACAAGTACAAACACTCCCCCCAGAATCCTCCTACTCACATGTTTCACCCTCTGCTGGGGTGTAATCACAGAGCAGAAGCTTTGCCCCACCAGACAATCTAAAACGGCCGACGCATTTCGGGGGTGCAACATCTCCCCCTTCAGAGCTATAAAACAAACATGAGATTGGCACACAGAGGGTTAAGGAAACCATGTCCTCTCGGCGAATTATCATTGGGGGTAAGAAGCGGTTTTCCCCTCATTGAGATTTCCTGTGACGTCTCTGGGACAGGAAGTGACGGGAAATCTTCCTAATAGGACACAGAAGCGTATCGGGAAGATCAGCAGGTATATCTACCTTGCTACTACTACTGTGGTGGGCTGACAACACACAACAGTTTTGTGGACTGAGTGGTGTCAGCCCTGCCCCGGTGTCCTTTGCTAAACTACTCAACCACTCCCATCTCTACAATACAAAGGCTTATGACTCTGTAGTCCAGGATAAGAACCAGGAGGGCTCATTGAGAGGGCACAGGGCAGCTCTGAGCTTCTGGCAGGTATCGTTTCGCATTGAACAGATGTAACAAAATACTTTCAATGGGATGTTTAACGGACCGAAAGAGAGCAAATGCGTTCATTGTCTGGATTGACAGCGCTAGGCGGGCTCTGGCCCTCCGGCTGTGGTGGAACTACAAATCCCAGCATCCCTTGGCCTCTGGGAGTCATTCCCGTGGCTGTCAGAGTCTTGCAATGCTGCGTGGGATTTGTAGTTGCACCGCAGCTGGAGGGCCGGGGTTTGCCCACCCCTGATTTAAAGGGATAGCATCACTCCTTCAGAGACCTAC